CAAAGAATGAATGGTAGATGGTCTCTACTCAGTATGGCACTAAACAGCCTACCTCACTAATGACTGTCGAGAAAAGTCGAGCTCATCCCACTTCCCCATGCTGGAGATTTTAGTTTAATAATAACAATGAATAAAGTTATCTTTAAAACTAAGTACACAGATGACATCAAGACCCAACAGTAGAGTCAGACGGTAATAAAATTAATCTGGTTGTGTGTGTCATTGTGTCCTGCAAACTTTGCTTTAATTCTACTTTATACAATCTAAACATTTTTAGTAATTGGATAAAACCCAGAGTAAAATACATATAATCATTTCTTTAACTACTGTATGAGGTTGAAGAGTAAAGAGTAAAAAGTGTCTGATACTGTGTCACAAGTATAGACTGCAGGGGTGAAAGAACTGTCAGCACGGAGGAAAGAGGAAGTGAGATTTTGAGACTATATCTGCACTAGGTGTTTTGAGTTGTTGATCTTTAAGTTTTAAAGAAAAAGGAAGGTTAAAAGTTGAGTGGAGGAAAGGTCGAGGCTAACTGAAGGCACTTGACGTCAGGGAAAGTACGCACCGGACATGCAGAATATACGGTATAAAAATATATGCAAACGAAGGATCGAGGTTCTTTGTTCCGCGGCGTTCGAGTCGAGCAAACGGAGATGCAGAATCAACGGAGGGCTGCGTAATGATACCCCGGGACGACTGCTCGCTGCACAAGAAAGGAACAAGATCCGTTTACCCACAACCCGGGATTCTGATTCGACCGCGGCCCCAAACTCAACCCCAAGGATTACAACGATGCTGCAGTGGACATGGGGAATAGACAAAGATCTTTTGTGGATTAAGAACTGAGTTCGTTGAGGATTCTCACCAGTTCAACTTTGGATCTATTCTAAAAGGATTCTGCCAAGACAAAGACAGGACTCCATCCATGGACGTTAAAGTTATCTGCTGCCAAGATCGTCTCTGCATCTGGGTTCGAGTAATGCTGCCTCCCCCAAAGCCTCTATTTAGATTAAGACACAGTGTAGGGTTTAGAATTAGGTGAAATGTCTAAATTTTCTTAAATCTATTGATTACTTAATCCCTTGTTAATTGCTGTATGTCTTTTCTCCCCTGCTAAAGCT